ATCTATCTATCTATCTATCTATCTATCTATCTATCTATCTATCTATCAGAAATTACTAATATGTGGAATGTCATTTTTAGGCTGAGTTGAAGAATCTAATCGACATCTCCTCCTGCTCATTTGAGTTTGCAAAGGAGCTTATCCGACATAACCTGGTAAGTAACTCACCATCGCAAGCCGTGACAGTGTGTGCGTGGCAGCCCTGCTCACTCTGAGTCCTTTTGCGCTGCAGGTGGTGTTTCGAGGTGGAGAGGGGGCACTGCAGGTGCTGCCTCCTCTTATTGATGTGATCCCCGAAGCTCGACTCAATCTGGTCATCTACTATCTAAGACAAGGTATGTTGTCAAAGCACTGTAGTTTATGGAACACACAAAATCGAAAGTAGAGAATATACAATTCTAGGGAAGTTAATGAGCTCACTTCAAGATAGCAAGGTTATTTTTATTTCCACTGAACATTTCCACTGAAATAATGCACCCGCAGTCTAATTCACTGGATGTAATTTAAAAAGAAATGTTTGACACAAAAGCAGCACTGCTAATCACCAATGTTACTCCATAATAATTACTTGTTAGAGGCAGTTTTCCTGTCTTTACTTTTTGAAACTGCAGCTTTTGTTTGGTGGAACTTTGTAATTAGTTCCAAATATTGCTTGCATTTATTAATGACATTATGAAAACATCCATATCTTAAAAATAACAAAAAAAGGGGAACATTACCTGAATAAAGGAGGTGAGGTGGTATAATTTTAAACCTTTCATACTGATGTGGTTGTCCTGACTCAACATGTAATTATTGTAACTTGTCAGTTATCAGAGACCGACAAACATGTTCAGGGACTGAAAAACTTCCTTTTACATTTTCAGATGACATCCAGGAAGCTTACAACCTCATCCACGATTTAGTTCCCACCACCCCTCAGGTGATAACAACTGAACATGTGATGTCTCACTGCTAGTCTCACAGATGGTGTCCCTATGGGTCCCAATTATTTGTTTATTTACTTTATCGAAAGAAGTAACAGTCAGTTTGCTTTCATTAGTTATTGGCATATAGAGTATCATTTTACTAGGGATGGATTTTTGGGATATTTGTATCAAATTAATTATAATTTCCACAGGAGTATATTTTGAAAGGAGTGGTAAATGCGGCGCTTGGACAGGAAATTGGATCTGTGAGTATTTCAGTTAAGCCTAAAAAGCGTGAATAAAAACTAATTTATGACATCTTCCGTTTGAAACCACCCTGTTGCTGAACTTTTCTCTCTTAGAGGGATCACTTAAAAATTGCTCAGCAGTTTTTCCAGTTGGTTGGAGGCTCAGCTAGTGAATGTGGTAAGACTGAGAGAATCGTTATCTGTATTCTTCTTTAAAGCAACGCTACGAGCATTGATTTGAGATTTTCTTTTTCTAGACACTATTCCTGGCAGACAGTGCATGGCCTCCTGCTTCTTCCTCCTGAGACAGTTTGAGGACGTGCTCATATATCTCAACTCAGTAAAGGTTAGCGTTGCTCTTTGCAAATCACGTAACAATGAAAAAATCTGTTGTAATGCTGTAAACTGTTGTATGCTGGTAAAATAAAAGCTGGTTAAAAAAGACATATCAAAAAGACGCTACAAGCAGTGTTTATTTAATCACTGTCTTTTAATTTGTTTTTCACTTTATTTATATAAATACAAATTCAAACCAAAAAAAGCAAAGAATAATACAACAAGCGATGCTTTAAAAAGTGCAATATTCAATATCTTTGTAGATCCGTAAGATTGCAAGATAATTGTATAAAGAAGCCCTATTATCACAAACACAGTAACTAACTTTAAGCAGGCAGAGGAGCGTGTGGGCTCAAGTAGCTCAGGCACATTACTCTGACACTACCCTTGATGCCAGGCAATAATCTGTTTATTTCAGGCAATGGAGTAAGAAGAATGTTCACTTTCTCAAGAAAAGAGATCTGCTGTGCTTGGAGCACCCTTAGACATATTTTATTTTTGATCCGTTCCCAAAATCAGTATTAAAATGTCATGGAGTAAATGTGGGAAAGCATTCCGGGGTCTCATGCTGCTATGTGGGTTTAGAGGTCTAGTGTCCTTGTTTTTCATGGGAATCCCAATGAGAACAAGACCTTAATGTGAAGAGGAAGATAACTGATTGGGATGCAGTGTTGATTAACGTCCTTCAGCTTTCTAAAAACCTAGATCATCAATAGGTACATTTTATTAGATGTCACAGGACATGTGGGAGTCATCAAACTAAAACATTGTAAAAGCCATTCTTCTTCTTCTTTCTGGATGTGGAAATGCTTTAAACTTTGAAGAGTTGGAATGGCTAAAATAGTGTCAACAAAATGTCACAGAAAATAAAGCTGCAGTACATATATTCAGATTGGTGGATTTCATTAGTTTAATCAGCCACTGATTGTGCAAGTTTGTCACACTTAGAAAGAATGAGGAGAGGTCTGTAAGATTTCTGGCTCTCACAGATCTGTAAGTTCTTCATTAAGAACCTCTTCTGTCCTCCACTCGTTATCTATATTAATGGCATTTATTTGACCTGGTTATCGGTATAAAAGACACCTGTTCACAGCCTCAAACGGTCAGACTCCAAACTCAACCATGGTCAAGGAATGGGCCAAAGTACCAGCTACTGTGTGTGCAAACTTGGTGAAGACTTACAGGAAATGTTTGGACTCTCTCACTGCCAACCAAGGTTATTTTCCAAAGTATTGAGTTGAACTTCTGTTTTTAGACCAAATAATTATTTTATTCTTTAAAAATCCTACACAGCTATTTCCTGGATTTCTTTTCCTCATTTGGCTGCACATAGTTGAAGATTTTTCTTAGCAGGAGAACCGGCACAATCAGTGGCTGACTGATTTATTTATTTATTTTTTGTTCCACCATTGTACCAGCACAGAAAATGTGAGCACTTGTATATATATATATTTTCATAAATTGTGTTTTTCTTTTTTTCAGGGTTACTTCTATAATGATGATACATTCAACTTTAATTATGCTCAGGCCAAAGCTGCGCTTGGTAACTACAAAGAAGCGGAAGAGGTATTGAAGTCAAAGCATGCTCACAGAATTAGCGTATTTCACTCTGCTAAATGTTTTTGTGCTAACTCTTCTCTATTTTTGTAAGCTTTTCCTGCTCATACAGAGTGAAAAGATCAAGAACGACTACGTTTACCTCAGCTGGCTTGCAAGATGCTGTATGTATGAAATTCATGTTGGGAAAGTTCTTAATTTGAAAAGATATTTTGGCTTTCATCAAAACATCAGTATGTATCAATTTATGAGATATAAGACCATTGATGATTAAAACATATAAAATATTAGTGTTAATCAGAGCAAAGTTCCAAACCAAACCAAAATATTTTTATGGCAGTTTGAGGAAAAGACTTGAGAAATAACAGCTCAGGAAGAGCTTTCTATTCTTCAGTTTAAACTTCGTCACAGAACGATTATATTTCTTTAAACTAATATTTTTAAAAGAATCCTCTACTCAGACACCCAGTGGCTTGAGAATACAAACCGTTTTTAAGCCTGTCGGTTAGTTGTTTTTTTTTACAGAATGACACGTACATTCTTTATATAGATTATAGATAACAGATTATTCATTTTTCTATAGCAGCTACGGTGCTGTGTTTAGAAGGATTTACACAAAGTCTATAAAGACCTTTTTGGTAGGCATATATATTTAGGCAGCAGTTTCCTCGTGATGAGATTATAATCACAGAAAAAAGTCAAATATTTTAATCTTGTGAAAACAGAACTGAACTTTTGTTTATTGATGTTAAATTGGACTGGAATCAGAATCTTAAAATCAATGCCCGGTTTCTAGTGTTATGACTTTTACTATTTTTTTCATTCGACATCTACTACACCCCTACAGCTAAAAAAAATAGATGAACTCTGCCTAAAATTCTGTCTTTCATTGATTTATTTTAGTAAAAACTGGCTGATTAGAAAGAAAAAGTTGAAGTCCAATCTTTAAAAGCTGAAACTACCTGGTAATGATGGCAGATTAAGCCCGCTTGTCTTCCTTTTTAGACATAATGAACCAAAAGGGTCAGTTTGCCTGGGAGCTCTATCTGAAGATGGGCACATCTTCAGATTCCTTCAGTCTGCTGCAGCTTATTGCCAATGACTGCTACAAGGTAACATCCTTCCCTTTCTTCATTTATTTCACACTTACCATGATTATCTGAATATCACTTGAATAGAAATATGTTTGTAAAAACATGCAAGTTTCTTATTTTATGGACAGAAAATAATCACCAGTATATTTATTTTTCGTCCAATTAATTTATCTTTTTATTATTATTACAATATCATTATGATCTTATTATTATTATCTTTTATTCCATTTTTTTTAATTGCCAATAAAATATTATACATTGTTTTGTGATATCTATAAAATCAGTTTTAGTATTAATTTTGCTCCACCTTTTTGTAATGTGTAGTGTTCATTAAAGTGAATAGTGATGGACATACACTTATATAGACATACATACATGAGAATGAAAAAATCTAAAGTTGAAGTACTATTACTAAAAGATGTCAAAAAGTTTAAACGAAAGATTCAAACACAGTTCCTTGAATTTTCTCTCTTGTATTCTTAAAGAGAATGTAATCTTTTCATTCTAAAAATATCATAAATAATATCATACAAACTTTGTCTATATATGGACTGGCTGGTTTGAGTAATCTCTGGTTACTGCTTTTCTAGCAGCAATGCTCAGATCTCCAAATATATACTGCATTGGATAATTCCCTATTCCTGGTTAAACCAACCCCAAAAGAAGTTAACTCCCAATTAATTTTATTCCCTTGCCAAAAAAAAATGCCACAATAAATTCCACATATGTTTTTTGCAAAAATACTGAAATCTTTGGACAAACACAGAACAGGTGGACATGATCTGCCTCTTGGGAGCAACAGTTTTTCCAACAGACTGAAGATTTGATAAAGTGGGACTTTTGAACAGGAGTACTGCAATTTTTCATGAGGCTCTTCCAGTCAAATGTCCTCCATTAATTTGAACATGTCGTCCACAGAATTTCACACATTTCTGACCAAATGTCTTCTGATGTATGACAGTTTTGTTTTTTTAACTTTGACTAAACCTTAAGTATTTTTAAGATTTTAAGATTAAGCCAAAAAACAAAAATGATAATAGGACAAAGGAATTATAATGTATACCAACTCATGATGGCAGTTTGTTGTTTCAGATGGGCCAGTTCTACTATGCAGCCAAGGCATTTGATGCACTAGAGAAACTGGACCCAGGCTCAAGTTACTGGGAGGGGAAAAGAGGGGCGTGTGTCGGGATATTTCAGATGATACTGGCGAACAAAGAGTCCAAGTATGTTCCTCTCACCTTTCTTTGCGGCGTTTTATGGCCTTTTCCATTGTCTGTTGGTGTGGAAGTGATGTAATGCAAGAAAAACATGTCATAAGGTACTTTTGTGAGTAATCTGTTTTTCTTGTACATCCTAACTGTGCCCTTAGGGAGACTCTTAAAGAGGTTTTGGTCCTTCTGCGAAATTCAGGAAACCCTCAGGTTGAATACATCATCCGAGCTCTGAGGAAGTGGGCGAAAGACAACAGAGTTCTCCTGTCATGACTGCAGTCGGTGCTAAACTTGTGCACCACGTGTCGCTTAAATGACTTAACTGTAAATCTGTTTGAATTTGATGCATTACTAGAGTCATTTGTGTTGAGAATGTATTTTGAAATAGCAGGTCCCTATTTTAATATTTGTATTAAAATGACGAATTTGCAATTTTTTTTCCGTTTGTTTTTTTGTCCTCAAAAGCAGAAACTTATAAGCAATAAATTGGCGAATAAAGCTGAAAAAAGTCAATTTGCAAAGTTAATCTAAAAGTAGTTCAAACATTTCAGTTTACATACAGTGATTTGGCATCTGAATATATATTCCATAAACTTTAATATATATAATGACTTTCTCAATTTATTTGTAAAAATATTAACAATGCTTCAATATCTAAATATTGAAGTGCTTATTATTTAATTATTAGTTCATTATTAAGCGTCCATGTACCATGTATAGGCTACTCTCTAATAAAAATTATGAAGAAAACAAAAGAAGAGACATGGTGTATGGGTATTTGTATATATATATGAAGTAAATGTAAATAAATACAATGGAATAATGCAGATATATGTATATATAAGACGAGGAGTGGTGAAATGTCTCCTAGCAAACGAGAAAAAAATCTAAAGGGCGTCACCCTGAATTATTCCTTAATGCTTCCTAAACCCACCCAGACAGCTGGTTCAACAAGTTTTAATACTAATAACAGATGGGTTTTCCTCTCATTGTATGTTTAGAAATGGTGAAAGCACTATTTCCAAGTTGATGACCATTGCTGATCATTTGCACTTTGCATCAATTTCCAAAGTAAGCTAACAAAAATGTTAACATAAATGTTTCATAATGACACCACACTTGGTACGCTCTGAAGAGCATACATTTTGACTATGTGCTTTTCTGCTGGAATTATTTCCATTGGTTTTCCAGACACTTTTTAACATCTGCTCACCATACCAAAAGGAAGATTATTAATAAGTAGAAGAAGCTGATTAAGCTTTCCAAAGTCCGAGTATTTATTCTGGTGGAACCAAAATCCAGATAAAACTGAGAAAATACATAAGGATGTAAAGTAAGACCAAAATTGAGAGCATGAAGAAGGATGTTTAAAACACCCCTTTCAGTCCTTTTTGTCAGTGGGGATGAAAAATATCTGACAGATGACAGTCTTGGACATGACTTGAAGCCCAAAATAGAACCCAGATATATTGGGAATGAAGAATTTAGTTTATTGCAAAAATATAGCCGCATAAGCTTATTCTAGATTTTAATACATCTCCCTAAGTTTTTAAAAAAGATATTGGCAGTGGAAGTATACAAAAAGGCAAAGGGATTTCTGTACTTGTTATAGAGATTTTTTTGTGTAAATTCAATTAAGTAACTTTTTTAGTTGGACATTTTTTTTCTTAACCACAACAAATGTACGTTAATTAGGATCTAGGTTTGAATATTCACCGAACACTCTGTAACAGGTTAATCCAGACTAGGTTTAAATAACAAAAGAACACAAAGTTAAATTACAATTTCAAATGTATTCACATACTTCATTGTGAAAGGAACGTGAAACGTGAATCAACGGGTGACCATGTTCGTAGATCTTTGTTTGGAGGTGATTTACTGTGGCAGCTACCATCAGACTTGTACTCTTCCCTTTAGAATGTGATGTTTAAAAGTGAGCTGATGCAAAAATGCACCATTCAGCATTTTCCTGAATAGACGGAATGGAAAGCGTCATGTGAATGTGACAATAGCCTAAAAGCCGCTGCACGACTGAGACGCCATACACAGCCTGTCTTGAATGTACTACACAAATTGTCCTTCAGTCAGGTACTTTAAAAAAGGTCATAATACTACTGATAGTGTTGTTATTATCGCTTGTTGTGACAGAGGCGGGTTTAGGAGCGGGCCACGCGCTGATTGGACGCCTTGCCCTCCCCTGTGGCACATGCTTCCGTTTTGTGCGTACGCGCAAGCGCAGTGACCCCTCTGTTCTGATATTTTATTTACTCCTGAAACCCAAGATGGCTCCTATGAATGTCTCAGCCCCATAGCAAATCGAGGATGCAAGTAGCTGCTGAAAAAACAACTTTTCCCCGACCGACGCATCCCCTGGAGTTCAATCCGCATGTCGCGGAGGAGGCTCTAACATCCATCTAGGCCCCGAGCAGCCGTTGGAGCTTGGCGAAACCTTCTTCAATCCATCAATTTGGAGTAGTTTCGCGAAGTAGCTCTTCTCACTGTCGCTGTCTGTCCGGAGCGAGGTTCAGGCAGGCAGGCAGCTCATCCAAATGGCCGAACCGAGAAAAGTGCAGTTTGTCACCCTCTCGGCCTTCGCAGCGGGAGCAGCCGGGGAGTCAAGGAAACGCAGGCTGGAGGATGAGGCCAACTTCAACTTCGACAGAGCCGCGGAGCTCGAGGCAAACACCGGGACGGGAGGCGCTGCCAGCAACGGTCGTCTTGTCAAAACCGACGACAGGGACAAGATTACAGCCGAAAGGCGGGCGACTGTTCGGCTCAACCTGTCCCTATCCGAACCCAACGACCGCTCTTCCGCCGAGTTTAATTACGGCGAACTCATCCAGACCCTCACGGTAAGGATTTCCTGGCTTTTGCTAACGTACCCAGACCGTGGGAAACTAGAGCCGGAGTTCATTTACAGCTGTTGGAAGTGTTTTATATGACATGTCATTGCCAAGTAAGAGGGGGAAGTGCACCTTGTCCTTACGTGGAGAAGCGTGGCACCGAGTGACCATTCCGACGACAAAAGACGGCGGCAGTTTTTGACCACTCGTCCAGCTTTGGCCACTTGCTTTTTCCAACTCTAGCGGCGCTCGTACAGATTTGTGAGACTTGCTCGCGAGGGGGACCTCCTCTTTTCCCACATATCGACATTAAACCTGTCTCGTGCTGGTACCTGTGTCCTTTCCACTCAGACTTGCCCAGCAACAGCCCCAGCCACACAGCCATTACAGCACTTGGAAATGCCACATGCAGTTTGGCCCTCTGGCAGCGGGTGATAGATAGATGAGAGAGCATTGCTGATGGAAGTACCAGGATGTAGCATGGGAACGAGGCAAATGTCAGGGTACTGAGATGAGAGATGAACCCGCATCATTTAGACTACGTGCCAGTGGAAATAAAAGCAAACCTTGCTGTGACGTTATTTTACGACGGTGCAATTTTGAAAAGGGAAAGTTAGCACATCACACATTAGCTGGGTGTTGAGTAATGTAATGGCAGATGATATTGTGTCTCTGTAACATCCCCCATTTAGCCATTTCACTTGTGCTGGTTGTATTGTGATAATGTGTTGACCTTTTCCTGACTGTTGTTTTCTTGGGAGGTTGGGTTGGGTTCCAGGTTACATCAACCCTGGCAGCAATTCAGGAGGTGTGTAATGTGGTGTGATATATACAATTTTGTTTTACTTTTCAATATCTGTTTCAGGGAAAGGGGAACGTTTCAAATGTGACACCGGCCCATAATCTCAACGACCCGTTCAACGATGAGCAGAGAGAGCGACTTCAGGTGGAAGCCCTGGCAAAGAAGTTTGAAAATAAATATGTGAGTCTTCTTTTTTATTTCTTTAATGTTTCTGATGCAGATTTTTTTTATAAATGCAGGTCATGGTTTGAACCAGCATGAGTTGGATGTTTTACAACTGAGAATGAAAACGTATGAATATATTGAAAGTGGCCAAACACTGTGTTTTCCAGATGTTGATATTTTTCACTTCCAGAGTCGTTGCTTTGCAGCACATATACATGTCGTGGCCAAATTGCAGGATGCAGTTCGAGGGCATTAGAATTGGACGGGAATCTTTTTACATGGGGTTCCAATAGTATAAGTATAGGTGTAATTAGACAGAGATCAGAGTAGAACACATCAGATAAATCATTTCTCAGCACATATGGTTTAGCTTGTTTGTCATATTATGTGACTTTTTTTATTTTATTCCATTCTAAGGCTCCCTTAGAAACATTGGGAAGTGCTAGAACATTTTAGTCCAGTTATTGCTGATATGGTCTAAGCCAATACGGATGTAAAGATCACTCTCGCAAAACAAAATACTGTCTGATTTATTTTAATTGAATATGACACGTCACCATGTCACTTTTTAGTCATTTTGAAAACGTGCAGGGTATTTTATACTTCAGATATGACATAGTATAAGTGCTGCTTGATAGAGGAAAACAATTTTCTTTATTTTATCAATAGTTTTCACTTTTAAAAAAATGAGGACCATGTGAGGATTTTTGTAGAACATTTATTTACTTTTTTAAATTAAAGATTAAACAAATTTATTTAATTTTTTTAGGGTGACACAGGGAAGAAGAGGAAGGACAGAATGCAAGATTTGATTGATATTGGGTTTGGCTATGACGAGACAGACCCATTTATAGATAACTCAGAAGCTGTAAGTACCCCACATTACATTAATAACAGGCTCCTATTTTCCCTTATATGTTAGTTCTTCTTTCTATTTTTTTTTTGGAGGGGGGGTCGAATCTCTTTTGCACATTTTCTTTGTTCCCTGTTTTCTGGTTAATGTTTACGATGTTCGCATTGCTATTGTCTTGTTGTGTTAAGGTAGATCTAACCCCATAGACATTAAACCTGGATTGTCCTGTCTGACATATACAAACACTAAATTTACTTGCACCTTTTTAGCTTTGGTAGTGTTCCCTTATTACAACTAACCTGAAATTACAGTGCAAAATCATCCTCATGAAAGACTATACGTGTGCTCCATAGGTCCACACAGTCCAATGTCACAATTTTGCTACTCAGTATTCAGCTGATATTACTTGGTGGCTCTTTGTATTGATTTTTTTGACAGTGGGGGATATTAGGGGTTTTGATCGCTGCCTTCACTTACAAATTTTTTTCAGTGCCAGTTTCCAATTTATTTTGTGTATGAAAATATTTTCATTTGTTGGTGGGGAATCTTGTGATGAATTCACGCTGGGTCAAAGCAAGATATTCATTTTGCTGACTGACAGAAGAGCAAAAGCGGCTTTTGATAAGCGGTAAACAAAGCTTGTTAGAAATTTTTAAACAATATTTAATTAATTTAATTTCACTGCTCTCTGTTGTTTTTCCCAGTATGATGAGCTGGTGCCCGCGTCTCTCACCACAAAGCTGGGGGGATTTTATATCAACACTGGCATGTTGCAATTCAGAGCTGCCTCAGAGTCTGAGGGAGAGGATGATAAGGTGAGATTACTGTCACTTACTGTCACATGTGCTTGGTTGAACATGAAAAATTCATAAGAGCTGGGAAAGTCTTTTTGTTGAGTTCAGTAAAAAAAAAAGAAAAAAAGAGAGAGACTTGTTAAGGATACATTATTCTAAGTAGGATCATTCTTTATGTCACTCAGTGAGTCATGAAAGAAATTGCACACGATAAAATGTCTGACAAAAATAGATAACTCTAGTTATTACTGCCTTATAACTCAGGGTACTGGGTTTGTTAAAATGATCTTACCAGCTCAGCACTTGTGGAGACAACAAAAACGGAGATATATCATCCTGTTAAATGTTGCAGCAAGTTTAAGAGAGGTCACACTGTGTTTTGTTAAGGGTGAGCAGTATTGTCCATCATGCTCATCAACTTGTGAAGCAATATTTTTTTCTTCTTTCTCTTTTTTTTACACAATCAGCCCAAAGGGCTTCGGACTTCATTCAGTTTCTTTTCGTCTCGCTCTGATTCTGATACACAATAGAGCGATATTTCCACTACAGATTTGCAAGATAATACAACAAAAAATGTTTTAAACGGTGTATAATTGAAATAATGTGATAAAATGTAAAGTTAGGACACAACTTGTTCACCTCAAAATCTTGCCAAGTTCTCAAAGATGGAATACGTCTTAAACATTTTTTTTAATGACACTTAGATGTTTAAACTTTGAAATGTATACATATTTTACTGATCCAATATTCAGCTAAATTATTGCACTGCAAGATGTTTTTAGCTTGAAATAAGCTGGCAGCTGTTTTCCTCAAATGAGAAATGTGAAAGATGTATAGATGTGTAACAGAGAACCATGCCTGTGATGCTTTGACTAAATGCTTTTATGTTTTTTTTTTTAGACACTAAATAATGATAAGGAACAGGTAATTAAGAGGCAGAAAAAGAAAGAAGGGAACAATCTAGAAGAGAAGAACTTGAAGAAGAACAAAGTACCTAAACAAGGGTAAGAATCCTACTGTCTGTCAGTGTCCTCCTGTAAAGCCCAGAAACTGTCCAGATTCCCGTCTAAATTTTGACTGGAGTTGGGTGCTTTTGCTACCGTCTGTGACACTACACTCGCCTGCTTTTGTACAAAAAGCTTCTCTGACATTTATCATAAAGCGCAGATGCTGACGGAGACTCGTTCTCAGCAGCTGCGACGAGGTGCTACCAGGATGAGCCTTTTCTAGATTTTATTGTGTACCTTCTAGAAAATTCTCCATTTGCCACACTCAAATATGCCGAATACTCCAACACGCCACTGCTGTGGAAACAACCTCTATATATAGCAGCAGCTATTGTGATTCTGCTGTTATGAAACAGATGGTATTATATATGTGTGTCTGTGTGTGTTGGTGTGTGTCGCAGGTTCTTTGAAAGCAGAGTGTAGGTTAATCCTCAGCATTACAGCAGCACCCGACTTTCTCAAAGTTGTCTTTATCGCCACGTGTTGACGTCTCAGCAAATATGCTTTTGCTGCCTTATCAGGAGGCCAGTCAACGGGGCGTTTTGTCAAATTTTTACAGAGGGAATTGAGTCGCATGACGCCTGCTCCTACAATAGCCTCCCACATGTCAGGTTTGCGGAAGGATTAATGGAATTTACGGGAGTTGCATCAGGTGCGCAGGCAATTGAGCAATCGTCATGATTAGAGGCTGGTATTAAGAGCGGAGGCATCATCATTTTTCTACATAGCCAGCCGCTTAAATGAGAAATGACATTAAGCGTGAATAAGGCACATCTACACAAACAAGTTTTGGCACAGCTTAAATCCAAACACTCATTTTTTGCAACTCCTCTTTTCTTTGTTAAGGAAAAAGTGAGCATTCGAAATTAACATGAGGCTTAATTTACAGGACATGGGCAGAAAATGCTTCATGAATAGTACACAGTACATTATTTGTCCTTAGTTAAAGAATTAACTGGGTGTTTTGTTTATTTTATTTTTATTAATGGCAATGATGTTGACATAATACAAACCCGTACACAGATGTTCTGGACACTTTTGGACTAGCACTGCTTTTGTATTCCTTCACCAGAGTCACGGCTCTCAGCCTCCACCGGCCCGAAAAGAAGAGAAAGAAACTAATGAAGGACTCGCTGTACCTGGCGGCCATGCTCCGCCGCTTCACCCGGGAGAAGGAAGAGATGAAAAAAACCACGCCCAGCGTGGCCCAGCTCGGCCTGTCGGGAGGCCCTGCCAGCGCCCCCCACCCTGGAAATTCCACAAACCTCCCGCCGGCCGCCAATTCCACCCACCAGCAGGGCGGCGCGGCCGGCATCGACCTCTCGCTGGCAGATCTCGCCTCGGACCCGGCCGTGATGTCACTGTTGGGCTCGGCCAATGAGAAAGATTTACAGGATCTCCTGGGGGACCTGGACTTCAGCCTGCTGGACAATGACCAGCAGCACGCCATGACGTCGGCTAGAGAGAACGGCATCCTCGGAGTCGGGGTTCCGTCCCCTAAAGCACTAGCAGGAGGTGGACCAGGGCGAAGTCTGGGGTCTTCCAGCGGACTCTTCTCCCCTCCCCCGCTGCCCAAGGGACTGCCCGCCCCTCTTATTAAGCGTATCGAGGACCTGCGGGCGGTGAGTCAGCTGTGTACTTAGTGGGCGGCCGCAATTACCTGTAATGCCTCTTTAGTAAGGTTAAAGAAATGCGGTGAAGTGGTGAAGAATAGTTATTTTTAACTCTCTATTCCACTCGTACTTGACTCTTGTGAAGTTATTGGAGAAATATGGCTTAAAGCTGAACCCTGTGGGTTTTTATGTAACTAAACAGCTACCCACTTATATCCCAGAACCCGATGGATCTTGGTGAAATGTAAAGAGAGACAGAGAAACATTCAAAATGGAAATGAAAGATGCAGAGAGAAGGGAGAAAAACAAGTTTTTATTTTTCTTAATTCAAATAGCAGCAAATAGTACCGATAAAACTTTAATCTTTTCATAAGTATGCTAATATGCAGGGATTAGAACTTTATTTTTATCATGACCATAATACAGCTGTTACTGGATTCCTCTAAAAGGATTAAACCTATTTAGTGAACAGGGGCGATTTCTAACTTAAATTCTCAATGGTGTTAAGATTCTGAGCATGATTAGTTGAAGCTAACTGTAAACTGATCTGAACTGATACAATAGGATCAGGTGAGAAAGGAAAGGGAGATTAATATCTGAAACAATTTGTGCCCGTCAAGCTTAAACTTTAATCGGTTGATCAATAGAATCTTAAGTTTTCAGCAATTTCATTGTTCAAAATCTGTCCTACAGGTTTGATCCCTTTTCAGAATCGCATGAAAAAAGGAGATTATTCTCTCCGATAGAAGACACTACTCTCAAATACCTTGTTTAGATCCCCCTAAAACACATATTTTACATTATTTCAACTTCGCAGTTAGAATCTGCAAGGTGCCTTTGACACCAAGCATTCAAACCGTACTGGACTCTCGATTATGAAGATATTTATGTTTTCTTTTATGACTGCAAGCATGCTTACAATGAGACTGAATTGAGACTTTAAAAGAATGGCTTTTTAATTTAGTCTCATTGTATAGAAAAAAATTAAGCATAAGCATAAAAACACAAATAGATTAAAATGGTTTATTTCTTTGGGTATTGTTAGGTTAACAAAACACAAGTTAGGTTCATTTAAAAAAACAAAAGAAACATGTCAAAAGAGAACACGTCAAAGCGCATGTCAGAACTATAAATGATAATTTTTTTTGTCTGGACTTAGATTCAGATGAAGTAGAGGAGTTTTTGTCAACAACTTCAAAAGCTCCCCATCACAGATATGGATACGTGCGTCTGCTATACAGTTGTGCACAGTGCTGACTCAACCTTTTCCACCACAGGCCTCACGACAGTTTGATCAGGAGGGCAGGAAGAAATTTTTCACCCTGGACATGAATAACATTCTACTGGAGTGAGTAGGACAGCTTTTAAATCACCGTCAGCCAAATTCCAGCTCCCTCCCTGTTCCCTGTTTTTTTTATTATCAGTGTTTCCACACTGATTTTCAAAAGATTTCCCCGGCCGCCTCTCCTGCTGTCTTCAAGTGTTTTGCTTTCTCCCCGTCTTTCATTGTCTGTTCTAATGGCCTATTTTTCATTTCCATTCAACCGGCTTTTATTCCACAGCCACTTCTCCCCGCGTCTGCCATTTTCATCTTTCATCTCACACCTTTAGTCTGCTTCTCTTTTTGTTTCTGCCTAACCGCCGTGATTTATATATTTATTTTTGTCCTGTCAGTATTGAGCTGCAGGTCCAGGAGCAGCCTCCCGAGGTGCGTTCGGGCGTCTATTCGCACATGGAGGCGTTTGTGCCATGTAACAAAGAGGCCCTCCTCAAGCGGCTGAAGAAGCTCAGCCTCAACATCCAGGTAAGCGAGAACGACTCGTCCAGGACTGTAAATCCGCTCATATGACACTGATCTGTAATTTTATTTGAAAACAATCTTTCCCTGCACAACGGGGGGGGGGGGGGGGGGATATTTGTGAGAGGGATGGAAAATACATTGATGGAAATTGTGGACCTACCTAGCATAACAAATAGAGCAGCCGTATTCTGCAAGATATTTAATGGTATGCAAGGAGATATGTGTAAAAATCTTGGCAGAAAGATCTATAGTGAGATTTGAGTGAGGAGGATTGGTCAAATATCCTATCAAGTACAGAGAAATATGGGGGAGAGACAAGATCATTCAGAGATTCTTTTCCATCCCCTCAAAACTACATAAAAGGGGCTTAATAGGAAATAATTTTATGTTGGAAGTGTCAGAGTGAAACAGGGACGTTCTGTAATGTGGGGATGTAAACTAGTGTACCCGTTTTGGAATAAAGTCTTGGAACATGTGAGTTCATGCCTGGATGTGGTGCAACAGGTATCACCAAGACTGTGTTTGTTATAGGGGGATCAATCAGAAATGGCAACTCTGTCTATATTTGATCAGGGCGTATTAAATCAACTAATTCTCAGAGTTGCTCCAGATGTTAAGAAATGGATGTAAATTATGTCAGCAGGGGCATCATGTGAACGCATGTTGCCTTGAAATAACAACGACGAGGAACATTTTAGGAGGGCCAGGGAACAAATTCTTTGGTAGGTAGGGCACAAAGTCAAACTTGGAGACGTGGTATCTTTAAAAAGAAAAAAAGTCTGATGTGTAGGAGGCCATCTTATATATAGCTGTAGGGTGGATATATGTTCTATCATTACAGGTGTTGGTGTTTGTGTGTGACAATATAGAAAAAAAAGTATCTTGTATAGAAAAGGTTGAATATTCCCAAACTACACCAGAGTTTATGTCCTACATAAGGAAAGGTAGAAACATATTACAATTCATAATAAAGGTGTGAATAAGCCATAACCATTTAAAAAAACTGGAATAGAAGTTATTCCAGTTTCACCACTTCAATTGTTTATGTGCAGGGACCATAGTGGGTGACGGCAAATGTCTTTGGCCTTGCACCATTAATTCAGCCTTCACGATAATAGATAACTGCCCGTCACCCCCTTTAACTCTTTTTTTCTTTCCCACTCACCTTCTTTAACCTCTCCCCTGTCCTTTTTTTTCTCTATTTTTGGTTCTTCTTACTTTCCTTTTCCCTTCGTCATGCTAACCATCCCCCCACCAAATGCCGTCGTTCTCTGTCTAAACGCATCTCCGTCTTTTCCAGGACGACCGGCTGCGGACGCCCCTGCTAAAGCTGAAGCTGGCGGTGTGCAGTGTGATGCCAGAGCAAATAGCAAGATACAACATGGACTGCATGGCCAAGTTTGCAAAGTGGGTAAATTCGATTTCGAAGGCGAAAGCTCTACGGAAACACTTAAATGTTTTGGCGAGTTTTATTAATATTTCATTAAAAGCTGCGCTACATTTGTTTTAGAATATTTGACTGACATTTTTTAGACTTTTAAAACAACAAGGGGCTGTTTACACTCTTCTGCAATTTGACACTTAGATTGACAAAAATGCCATAGATTAAGTTGCCAAAATTAAAAGAGAGAAGATTATCATCAATCATCAAAGTCAAATTAAGTTTTTGTAATAAAAATGAACTGGAGTATGGTGAAAACACAATCTATATTTGATTTATTTTATATGTATATATCTATAAAGCCAGACAATGCTCTCATTCTGGACAGCTGGACTTAAGAGCTGGAGTTTTTATAAAAGAACCAAATCCGTGCTCCTTATAATATGATATATACATAGTTTTTGCCTCAGCATAGATTGGCAAAAATCATTTTCAAAATATTGGCTGTATATATTTTAAATATTGACTTAAGATTTTGCTATAACTTGTTTTGTTGCCTTTACACTCCTCTAACGTGTAGGAAAAATATATATCAGATGCTTATTTTGATAATGATAAATAACTCTCACTTATTTTTCAAAATGACGTCTCTGTATTTAACATCACAATGTGTTTGTGTGTGTGTGGGGTTTGTAGGCAGCAAACAGAAGAGGGCGATAAGAATGGCTCAGAAGAGGAGGATGAAGAGAAACCGGGGAAAAGAGTGATGGGCCCTCGGAAGAAGTTCATCTGGGATGACAAGCTCAGGTAATTCCACAAAGATGGCCGAATGCTGCTCAGCTTTTCTGGGCCGCTTGATTTATATTATTAGCTTCTTAGAATTTTTCTTTAGATTTTCCTCATGAGGAAATTAACTGTGACATTTCACATTTTTTGGCCTCATCAACTTTTTCCCATGCTTCAGGATTTTTTTCACACAGAGCTTGCTACCTCTGGCATCCTGAAGATTGGACCTATCAGGATAGGGCCATCATGTGCGCCGCCCTCGTGGCGTAATCGGAATTTCTGCTGAATTTGATATTTGTGTCGATGCAGGAACCTGCTGTGCAGCTTGGTGCGGGTGAAACTGAGCTGCTACGAGATGGAGAACCAGTGCTCGCTGTCTGTGGAGGACTACCTCAAGGCCTTCTTAGAGAACGAAGTCAAGCCTCTTTGGCCCAAGGGCTGGATGCAGGCCAGGTGTGTGTTACTCCATGTAGTCGTAGTGAAACAAACTTTTTCAATTTTAGATTCATCAACTAGAACTCCGGTAAACAGGTAAGTGCTACATATGAGTAGCAGTAAGGAAAACAGCGTTGTATTTAGAAATGCAAAATAAAAAAATAAAAAAACTGACATAGTTAACAGTCCCTTCAAACAGACATATGTTAGCATAGCCCCACAGGCTCCAATTTCCATTCACATTTAGACCTACCATAGAGGTGGGTCAGTCGAGATGTATGAGCTGGATTCTTTTGTAAATAGCAGCTTGTTCTGGTAGAAACCTCACCAGTAGCAGGTGGTGTGTGCAGATTGTCACACATATTTGAGCCTGTAGGTGGGAAAATGTAGGTTGCAAGCGATTAACATCGGCTCTAAGACCTATTTGGCAAACAGTAATGAGATGTGTTGGGATAAAAAATAAAAAAATAACTAAGATTGACACTTGTTCATTATTTATAAATCACAAATAGAAAGTAATTGATATTATAATAGTAATATTGATAAGCACCTTTGAGTTGCTGTTGCTTGAATTAGCTTAATTCACCTACTGAGTCAAGGAGGATATCAGGAAAAATCTATAATATAACAAAGTATAATTTGTATCGAAGCACCAAGTGATTTGGGTTTACAGTGGAGCTTGAAAATATCTCCTTTCTGTTCCTTTTGTGAGCCTGAAATGACCTGCATAGCATTCCAAGTACTTCAGCTCGTTGTTAGGCTTTTGTTGTTTGCATATTTACTTTTTTTTTTGTCCACTATCAACTTCGAAGCTTGTATGTTTCTTTAATTCTACTCAACTGTGAATGGTCAGTGCTGTAGTAGTCGAGGCCCAAATAAATTATTGCATTTGAAACGCACTAAAGCAGAATAGAGATATGAAATAAGTAGTTTTTTTTGTGTGTGTGTAATTCTTTTGTTTTTCCATCATATTACTGTCATTACACTCATTTTCACAAAGCTCTCTGGAGTTCAGGTATGTTATTCCTAGAGCTTTTTTTTTGTGTCTGCTTTTCATGCTGCATGTTTTTTCCCCTCCCCCCACAGGATTCTGTTGAAAGAGAGTCTCGCAGCTCACAATCACCTCACAGGAAACTTGTAAGTATTCACAGAGTCATATTTCAAATTATTAAGCGGTATGTTGATAATGGATTTCTCCTTGGACTAAGCTTTTATGGACAAATGCCAGCAGAGGACGTTAAATGTTTGCCGCTCTTTCCCATTTAGAGTCAAGAGGAGAGTGGTGGCTGGACCCAAGGCCAAAGCCAAGGTGAGTGACCGCTCGGACTGGTTGCAGTTTCTGATGAAAACGTTTCTTTTATGGATGCTTGAAATACTAAAACCGCATCAACTGATATCCATCACGTTTCAGATAATTGACCGTGTGTCTGATTTCCTGTAGGAGGGTCTCTGGATGCACAAACCTCCTCTCACCATGACGTCCAGCTCCTCTCTGTCCACCTGCACAACTGCCCTGACCTCCGGCCGCCTGCCTCCCTCCTCCCTGCCCTCCCTGCCCTCGGAGCCCATCTGCCTGTCGGACTCTCTGGACGAGGACCTGACCGCGCCCTCCCTGGACTCCATCTCCCACGCGCTGGCCCTCCTCAGCAACGCGTCCAAGGGCCTGGGCCCCGCGGACAGCCCTCTGTCTCCCCCGCCGCTGCAGGTCCCCACCACCTCCCCCCCTCCCGTCGCGCCCCACTACCCCTCGGCCTCTCAGTTCTCCACGTCCGCGCTGCAGCAGCACCCGGCGTCGAAAGCGGACGCCGCCGGAAGCTCGGCGGCGTCGAACCCTTCTTCTACCTCCTCTTCCTCATCTCCGGCCCTGTCCTCCATGGTGCGCGCGCAGCCGCCCGGCCCGCCGCCGGCCTCCAGGACCGCAGACGGCCCCTACGGCCAAATGAAAGGGCCCGGCGCCATAGTCCAAGCCCAGACGCAGAGACACGTCGCCATGGCGTTGCCCAACCACAGGCCGGGCTCCGCCATGGGCAAGATGCACCCGCACCCCTCCCCGTCGCCGCCGAAGCAGCGGCCGCCCCCGACGGCGTCCCCTCTCCTGCCCCCCCAACAGAAACATTTCGCCAGCCCGGTGGGCCTGCCGGGCGCGATGGCGGGCGCCCAGTCGCTGCCCAAGAGCGGCGCCAAGCTCAGCAGCAACGGCAGCGCCGCCGCCGGCAACAGCCACCACCCGCCCCCCTCCCCCTCACAGCCACGTCCCAACCACAGTTTTCAGTCCTTCCGCTCCCCCTCCCCCGCGGCCTCCTCGCCCTCCCCCAGCCCCCACGTCCTGCACTCCTCCCAGAGCAAATCCCACGCCCATCACCACCAGCCCAACTTCATCACCCCCATGCAGGCCACCCTCACCAAGTCCTCCCACAGCAGCAACTCCTCCCCCATCATCAAGCTCACCCCGCGGCCCCCGGCGCCCACCCCGCCGCCCTCCTCCTCCCCGTCCCCGTCCTCCTCGCCCTCCCACCAGCTCTCCCACCAGATGATCGCCGGCCAGCAGCAGCAGCAGCACCAGTACTCTCCCAAAAGCTCCAAAACGTTTCGCCCCCTCTTCGGCGTGGTGGGCGGCGGGCCGGCGAAGCAGTCCCAAACTAACTGCGGCTTCGTCGGGGGCCAGAAAGCCCCGCCCCCCACCGTCAGCAGTAGCATCAGCAACAAGGCCGCGGCGTCATCGGTTTGCAGCCACTCAGACAAACCCTCGGCAGCCAATCAGAGGCAGAGGATGGTGGGCGGAGCCAGCCAGGGCGCAAAGGCCGGCAACAGCTGGGCGGCGTCCGGATCGCTGGCCACGCCCTCCACAACGTCACACCTCTCACAGGTCGGCTTTCAAAAGGTAACAGGAAGGAAAACAACACGTGCGATCGCAGTTAAAACGAGGGATCTCTTCTTTTTCTTCCTCTCCTCAGATATCGACCACAAGCTCTCCTCTCCTTAGCAACCACTCCGCTCTGCCGCTGGGCTTCGGGATGATCGGCGGCCTGGTGCCCGTGTCGCTGCCCTTTCAGTACCCCCCGCTGCTCAACTTCAGCGCTCCCGGAGCCCAGGGGACGTCGGGCATGAGCTCCGCCCCCAGCTCCAACTCAGGATACCCGCTAGCACAGAGCGACCTAATGGGTGAGCGGGTGCACAGGCCCTCAGTTAAAGGCTGGTTAACACTTCCTCAGATAATAAAAAACAACTCATTTATGACTTTGCCTTTTGTTTTGAAAGGTGACTGACACTTACATGGAAATTGGTATTTGGTAGTGGCAGTTGACATTTTGGAAACATGTATTTTTCTTTTTTTAACTAGTGGCTGCATCAACAGTCACTAGTGACCTGTACATCTGTTTTTTTGTTTTTTTAAATGGAGTGTTTTTGGGACCTTGGCCCTCTCCTGAGTTTTGAGAAATTGATTGGGAACTTTTAAGCGGTTACCATTCGAGCCGTTCATTGTATTGTATTTATTTATTCTAGAATATCGCATGTTACCCACAATCCTCCAGTCATTTGGTCATCTTACATTCCTGCTGTGTGTAAACTTTACACCCTTCTGTCCCTCTTTGTTCTCCTCGGCGACCCTCTGCGTTTCCTTGCCGACGTATTTTTTTGGTCTGCCTTCGATTGTGGTTGTCGTCGCCGTGGCAATCCTCCTCTCATCCGACCACCTTTCCTTTTTTCTCTCCTCAGATCTGTATAAGAGTCTCCAGTCAGGGTCGCAGGCTGCCTTACCTCCTCACTTGCAGCTTGCTTTCTCAGGTAAACTGCCCTCCGCTGTCCTTTGCTCTCCATTCGTCTCCATTGAAAAGAGGCTGGTTGAAGTTGGGACATGAGGAGTGTGTTATTAACCACATCTGACACAATGTAGATCCTCATTGATGACTTATGTTAAAGTCTGGATTAACTGTTTACTCTCTCAAATAATCAAATAATCCACCAAAACAATATTTGCTTTCTTGTTTTGTTAATCCGACAGTGAAGAACTCAGGTTAGACTCTGCAAAGTAGAGTAATGGGGGAAGTAAAGTTAGGTAAAGAACAGAAAAGATGGATGCAAAACATTTTGGAACGCCCATGCAGCCAACACATTTTCAGGTTTTCAGTTTTGGCCGTTTTACGCGCTGCTCAGAGTTTTCACATTTACAATAATCGTGCTTCCCGACTGACTACATCTGACGGGAAATCAGTCGTCCGCTACACACACAAATAAGCGCAGTCCACCATCAGCTGAGCTACACAAACAGAACATTTAAACAAAATCACTCAAGACGTTCAGCAAGTTCAAATGAATCTTCAATAGCACGTAAATAAATGTCAGCAGACAAAATTTTTTATTATTTAAAAATATTTAAACATCCAATATGAGAATAGTAACAGAGTCAGGTGTCAGCTGACAGGTGTTGACCACTGTCCTGACAGTCCCCCTCCTCTCCACTCAGATTCGAACCAAAGCCAGGGAGGAGACATGAAGAGGAAAACCCACTGACCAATAAGAGGAGATGATTCCAGAGAGGTGACGTCATGCTCTCGTGGACACGTCGGCCGGCGGGAGGTCATCGGCGCGGCCGGCTGGCACGATGTCGTGGTATGTCCAGACGAGACCGAACTCAAAGCCGCATCAGCTCATCCTCGCTTCCAGTGGCAATGATTTAATTTAACTGTATTTTCTATAACGAACCGGGTAAGAGAACCAGACCGAGTGAATGACGAGAACATTTGCTTTCGTTCGGCTTATTTTTATTTTTGTGTCAACATGTTTACATACGACCGACCTTAATCACTGTGGAATGAATGTGAGTGAGGTGATGGTACAGATGAAAAAAGCAGTATGCTACGTAATATAAATTTTATTTAAGATTATGTGGAATAACTCTTATTAGAGTACAAAAAGGAAAAAAAAAAGTATGATAAAGATTTTCTTTTTTTTTTTCTGTCTTATGTCTCAGATGTGGGAATTGTGTCTGTAGAAATGTATTGTTGGTCACCTCTGCTCCCACAAATGACTGTTAAAGTAGTAGCTTAAATTAATATGGATAAATTATTTGTAATTTACACAGGGACAAAAACACGTGTGAGTGGTAAGGGTTTTTTTGAATGTGTGTGTATGTACATAAAAAAGAAACACAATATACTGTTAATATCTTTCCAGATTATTCTCTATGACTGGGTAAGGACATATTCCCTTTTCACAATGATGAGAAAGTATAAGTTTAATGCCCCTCTCTCGCTCAGTCTATTTTGGTGCTGTTTATTCACACTGGATCTTTTTATGGATGGGGTTAAAAAAAATAAATTTAAAAAGACTTGGAAGAATTTTTGAGATCCTGCTCTGGACAGAGAAACCATCTGTGGGAAAGGAGACGAAATAACAAGATTGTAGCCTACTTGAATTATTATTTTATAACCTCTCTGCTTACTGAATTCATACCAAGTTAATATTACAAAACGCCTTAGTTTATATGGATTAAAAAAGTATGAAAAAGATCTATGCAGGACTGTAAAAGCTCAATGCAAGTGCAAGTCGTCGCTTGGCTTTCAACCTCTATTCATCAGTGCATTTCTGGAGTTGCGATTGTTAACTTGAGACTTGTTTTTACGTGTTTGTGTTCAGGAAAGCGAAGTGAAGTTGAGATGGAGTGGAATTGCTATAAACTGTTTTTTCTTTTAAAAAAAGAAAGCCTTCAGACATATTCACACTGAAAATGTTATTTATTATGACAGAATCTTATTCAAGTCAAATGCTTCATTTCACACTATAGAGTTTACACCTGTGTCCAAAGTGGTCACCGAGTATTAAAATAACATTAAGAGCAGCCTGAGGTAGGTACAGTTTGTTGTATCTAACCTGTTTTAGCATTTCAAGTGAATGAAGAAATTAACTGTATGTAGATATTAAGTAATAATTCAAGAATTTTTATTGGTACTCATATTCTGTTATTTTAATTTTAAACTGTTAGCAAGAAAACCATGCACTTCATAACACACACACACACACACACAAAACAACCTAATTCAAGCTGTTTTATCTGAGTGGTAGTTAGCATCGGAGCTAACCTAATGGTTTAAACTAACCCCAAAGCCAAAATGCAATATTCTCCTTTACCGACTGACTTTTTTTCCCTTTTTTTTTAATAACTCCAATGTCTGGTGACTCCTGTAGACAAACGTTACTAGTTTGGAAACAATACAGACGTTCATATTCATGCTTGTGTCTCTGTTCAAATTGACTTTGCTTTGCCTGAACACTGGAAGCGAAACTTTCCCTCAGCCGTATACCTCTGTTTACAAAACTGTTCTTCCTGGGTCTCTGCTTACTGGTTCCTGCCCTCCTCCTCTGTGTGTGCGCGGGCGTGTGTGTGCGTGTGTGTGTGTGTGTGTGTGTGTGTGCGAGTGCGTGCGTGCGTGCGCGGCTGGCTGACTAGTTGCACCGAGAAAGACGCCAAAGATTGTTCCGTTGTAGTTCCTCGTGATGGGGGTGCTGCTGGTCTGAGTGTGTTCATGTGACATTTCCCTTAAAATGTAAACGTGTGTTTTATTGTGAAGTCGCGTACTGGAGCAGTGGGTGACCTCTTCTAAACTGTTCTTGCTTTGGAGGGGTGGGAGGATATATAAAAAAAAAAAAAAAATCGTGGTTATATGGTTACTTAATTTGGTCTTTTGTAGATTATTTTTGTGTGTCGACGATAAAATTAAACAAAACAGGTGGTTTTCATGACGGCTGTCTGTGATTATTCCTCTAACTCTTGGTTACTAATGACTTCACAAGCTTCTTCACGTAAAAATAAACAATGACAAAAATGATGGAATTCTCCCTTCTGAGGTAAGAATAGCTTATAACTATATATTCTGGTTACTTAAAAGAGGTGAGGATTCCATCATTTGTCTGATTTTTTAAAATATATATATATAATTTGTGTTTCTATATTTATGTATCTATATGTGTGTTTATATACACACAGTTATATATATAAACACACACACACACACACATATATATATATATACACACATTCATGAAGGCTTATGAAAGAGGATCCACACAGGTAGCATGGTTAGCACCGTGGCCTTAAGGCAAGAGGGTTCCCGGTTCAAGTCCACGTCGCTGCACACGCATGTATTGAAGGTTTTAAAATACTTTGAAAGTGACTTTTTAAGCATGTGTTAAACTAACAACTTAACAGATGAATCAATGTATTCAGGCTTCTCGAATACTGGAAAAAACATTTTAAATCAAAAGATTGGATTTTCTTCGTCAAACAGGACAAAGTCACGTAGACACCACGATTATCTTCTGAATTTCTATTTTAATATCAAAATTGCCCTTATATTTGTAAATTTAATCTCAAATAAACAAACTGATCTGGAGAAACGGCGATAATCACCATATAAGCGAATTATGCTGAAATATACCAAAAGTGTTGCAGTTGTAAACTTCTTCCAGCTTGTCATTGGACAAGCATCAACCAGCATACTACTGGTTTTCTTTGGAAACAGGGACACAATGTTTGCAAAAACTGCAATGAAGATGGAGAGGACTAATTGAGGGGAGGGGGGGGGGGAGTGAAAGTGGGACTTTTAAAAAATGGAAACTTGCATCAACAATCAACAACCTCTTAAAACACTGTTCGTCACAGTTCTGCGATCTAAACAGATACCAGAGAAGTACCTCAGGAAAAGTGCTCTGTGCAGGAACAGTTACTCACAGCTACAGGATTGGAGAAATTTCAATTGGATTGAAACTGACCTAGCAATTGAAATTTCAATATCGTTTGAGTGAATTTCCCTCCATGGTCCTCCAAGGAAAGACATTCAATTTGAGAGGAGTCATCGCATTCAAGGGAGGCTTGACCAAAGACGGACTGGGACATTACACAGCTTTCTGCTGTTCAACTCTGTGTATGTGGGAGCTTTTGATGACCTGACAAATGTTAAGACAGTGTCTAAAATGACAACAATACAGCCACATACTGTATTATACACAGATAATTGAGCTGTTAAAGTTTGGGGACAAAGTTTTGTGAATTGCGGATAAAAAGGTAAATGTATGCCATGCTTTGATATCCCTGACAGGAAATATGTCTCGTTATATTATGACCATCAACTGTGAAAAAGGTCATTTTTTGCATATAAGAATGTTAATTTGTTAAAGATTATTTTCAAAGTCACACGTGTTGTCCTGTGAAAGTAAAGTTATTTTATTTAAGCAGTACCTTTTGTTATAGGTGAGAGAGAAGTCATAGTTCATTACTTTTCATCATCAATGAATTTGAAGAGGAAACTTCTTTTGCACCACTGTTTTTTTTCAGAGGAGTTAGAGACTTTTCTCATTTTCATTTCCTGTATTGAAAAAAATCTGATAACTCTGATAATTGAATGACAATACTGGAACACAACTGACGCTGAGCCAAAACAGTAATTACAGCGAGCAGCAGGTGAAATGAATAGTCTCCCAATTAAATGAAGTCACGTGATCGTCTGGGAAAAAAGACAAGCCTGACGGGTAAGCGCCGCAAAATAATCAAAGTAAGGCTAGATTTATTTGATATATTTTTGAAGAAAATCTAAAATCAGAAGTTTTCAGATAGTATTTTCTTATCCAAACAAATCTTATCTAATTCTTAACCGCATTCCGTACCAGGTGGTGACGGAAAGGCACCAATTTTGTTAGCAACCATCAATAAAGTGAATCAAAAAAGGGGAAAGAAAAAATTCAGCACTAACGACATTTTTAACCGCACAAACCGGCACAACCGAAGCACTAAAAAGGTAGACCAATTTGGTTGTTGGGTGGTGACGTCACTAGCCAAAATTATACTTCAAGATAACTCATAAACGAAAGCTGCACAAACGGACATTTTAACGGAATAAACGGAACACTAACCATTTAATCTTTTTGCTGGATTTTTTTTCACCTGCGTGGGGTGTCAGCTTCACTGTCACCTTGCAAAAGAATCGCAGTTTTTGCTAACATTGTGTCCCTGTTTCCAAAGAAAAACAGGAGTGTTGGTTGATTAATACAAGCTTTAAATGGCTTTAATGGTTTAATAAATTCTTAAAAAGTCACTTTAAAAGTCTTTTTAAAACCTTCAATACACACGTGTCCTCGCGCAGTTAAAACTTAATACTGTACAGGTCTAGTGACAAGATTGAAAAGGTTTACAACTGTTGAGATATTCCACAATAATTCACTTCTGTGGTGTTTTTCGCCGTTCCTCCAGCTCAATTCCTTTATTTGAGATTAAACCTGGAACAGATATAATAGCAATTTTATCTTCAAGCCTAAATATCTTGATTCATCCATCAGCCTGCAGGAATGTGTGCCCCCTCCGTTTAAAGCATGTATTACATCTTACCATAATGTTTTTTTTGTCACACACACACACACACACACACACACACACACACACACACACACAC